TTTTTTCCAACAGTAACATAGCCCTGCGAGTTTTCCACAGAACTATTTAGTACTTCGCATTTCGAGAGGACCGCGTAGAGAAGCAAAACCTAGTTTTGACAACAATTGTCGAAAGGCTCTTTGAATGTTCCGGTCCAATCCCTTCTGGACCACATGCCGTCCAATTCCTCATAGATGTGATGTAACATGGAATTTTGACAAGCAGAACAGAAGAGATAGCAAATCCATTGCTACTATGATGGAAGGAGAAATAGAATGAAATCTGTCTAACTGTAAGAGGTAAGCGAAGATCAGTAATGAATGACAGGTATAACCCACCTTGGGCATAACTACTTAAAGAATTTTAAAGTATTGCGAGGAACCAATTATTCATCACAGTGTGTAAAAAATTAATGAAACCCGAAAAAAAGATCGACGTAAGCTGAAGATTTTATCAAAATAACTTTAAAAAGGAGGCGAATAGAAATAAACAGACCGGGACAAGATGAACTTCTGGAGCAGCTTCTATAAAGACATTCTCATTCAATTGCTTAAGATATGGAAGCGAATCACCGTGGAAAGGAGGAAGATTTTTCAAGCGGGATCTGAAATGCATTATCTTTAAATAAGCAAAAATACCCACACTAACATTCACAACAATAATCCCCACAAGTAGTACCAATTGACGGACCCTATAAAAGGTTTTAAAAGTCGACCAAGCCAAGATACAAGCCAACAAAGGCCATATAATTGAAATTAACCTCTCATCATAAACATATGGCAAAAAGGAGTTGAACGAAGTGAAGTCCACCGCACAATCGAGCAAGACCGTGACATTTTGAAATCGGAGAAGAATACATGGCTTGTGAGGATGGTAGCAAAGACTTGTCTAAAACAATCTCGTGTTGAAAGGGCGAAAACAGTACAGACAGATAATTCGAAGTCGACAAAGATAACGCTTTTTCTGTTGAATATTTACTTCATATTTATGCCGGGGACGATTACGAAGAGATGATGAATAGGATTTTGGTTCAGAATGCCATTGAAATGTGATGAGTATCCGAAACTGTGTCGAACAGTTACGGACGATCGGTTATCAAAATGAAGAAAAATATGCAAAAAGGTGTTTAGTTATCAGATGAAGGCGGTCATTCACGCAATAGAGTAAGTCACAAAAGATCAAGCCTATCTCCCCGCTTTATAGAAGCAGAATCCTAACAATTAGAGCAGACCTATCGCAGTGGGTGTTACCCTACTTTGTATCCATCGTGCTCTCAAAAACGAAACTCGCGAAGAAAGCAATACGTTCGACTAACACTACAAAGTCTGAGGAGTTCTTCACCAAAGGATAGGATCCACTTGAGAATACGAGATCAATCCAGCAGAAATTGCTAACCTCTCTAACACTGTCTACGATTTCCAATCCCATACAACATGACGCAAAGCAGAGAGAGAGACGCGAAAGAACTCTTGTCAATGAAATCACTACAAAACGACAAAAAAGAGAAGAATAATCAAAGCCTCGTTCTCGATTAGCCCGATTTTGGGCTGTGCTGAATTCCTAATTTTCTACAGTAATGGCATGAGGATAAGCTTACGACTTCTGAAACGACTAAAAGGATTGCATGTCATCTGAACGCTTTGCTAAATGACTATGACTATGAGTAATAGAATGAAACCCCTCGAAAAACTTTTGCGCACGCATAAGTATGAATCGCTACGACATTATAAGTTGGAACTAGTGGACGGAAATTGGAAGTGATGGATCTGATGGCCCCATAGTCACTCCACATTCCCCCCACCCCCCTCCCCTCTCACGTTCGCAGACATTTTCCGCCTTTCATACTCATTTGAGGTTGGATTGTGTCAATCAAAGTATGAACGAGCACTTCCCTTTCCTCGGCACTGAGGAGCTCACTATTCACAATATTTGAAAACTGAGTTCAAGCGGACAGAGAAAAAAGGGAAACAAACAAGTAAGAACTTACAACATGCATGACCTCCCAGAGCTTGGTAAACGAAGGTCTAGCTACTCCTACCTAAAACTGCTGACTATTACAGTTGTAGCAGAAGAACCAACAATACCTCTAGCCGCCTGACTGACCTAGCTGATACGCCGGTGAAGATTTCGAGAACAATTCTTCCGTCTCGCAACAATTTGATAGAGTAACGACACAGCACAGTTTAATCGTGACCCTGTAACACCTTCCAACGATGAGCAGAGTCCCCAGTTTTTTAACTCGACAATGCGAAAGCCGCTCTGTAAATTCCCAGCTCTACCGCCAATTGTCTGACACGCAGCCGCGAAAAAAAGCCTTTCGAATGTTCACGTCCGTGAGGACGTTGTCGATGAGGTACTACCACCTCTACGACCATGGACGTTTTGCATAAGGCCCGACAAAGTAAATCGTCGAACAGAGAAACTCGGAGCATCTAAAGGAGAGGGGAAAAATCCATTAACCTTTGGGTTAATGATGGTTTCAAAGACTTTCTTTGAGAGCGAAAGATTTTGAAGCTGTAAAAACTCGGGCCTATTGCGAGGCTGTAGAAATCAGCCAGGATATCATTTTAACAATATGATGAGAATGATCGAGATGGAGGGAGCAGCAAAATACATAGCCGGGTAAATACTCGAACTGATTTTAGTAGTAAATAGTCTTGTCTATATTCAGACTACTCGAGGGAGCCTTGCTATAGTTTGTGGTGGCTCTGTAGCCATTTACACTTGCATTCCACCCATTAAAATTTATAGCCTTATATAAGTTTTGGTTCTTTGTGATAGTATACAGTGGAATAAATGGAGTGGGAGGTCAGTATGGTTCAGCTCGAAAAATTCACTCAACGGAAGACGTACGGTGAAACTGAGATTACTATGATGATTACTATGATGAAAGGGAACTCGAGCCAACGCTACTGCTTTCGCAACCACTGGCTGGCTTAGTTCACGTGNACAAGTACGTACGAACTTGAACCAGCTACTGGTTTCGCAACCACTCGCTGGCTTCCCGTTCACGTGCTCGGGTGCTCCCCCGTCTCTGTTGTCTGACCCGAGCGTTGCAGACGTAGAGTACAATGTACTAGTTGCCTTGGCCCTCTATATTCTGGCCACATTTTTTGAATTCTTATGTTGGTGAAGTGAGAAATGCAATGTCCGTCATTCTTGGATAGTGGTAACTATAATGGATTATGAGCGATGAGATGAGGTTATCTAACACGAGTGGCCCTGAAGAACATGCGTGTCGAATAGGGACAAATGTGAGTTCCTCGGATTTCTTACTCCGGTCTATGGTCGCTGTGAGTGGTGTGTTTGTAGGATTCTGTCGTTATTCTTAGCGACAATGAAAGTGTACACTCAGGTGGATCTGCAGATCTTTTCGATAGCGACGAAAACAGTCGAGATGTTGTCGATGTAAATGGTAAGTGAATGTTATACGGGACTTGCAATCATGCGTCTTTTTTCTTCGAATGAAACAATTCTCACAAGGTTGGCGATTTGCGGATAAAACTTGCTTTTCGAGCACAAGTAAGGGTTTGAGTCCCGTCCCAGACTGAAGTCTAGTCCATAAATCGCAATCCTTGTGAGATTTTGATACAGTCCTCTTTTTCTTATTCAGTAGTATACCTTTTCAGAAAGTGAACCTTAGCTCCTCATTTGAAATCGCGTAACAAGATTCTACACACAAACCCTTTTTATTCATTCGCTATTCTCCTACATCCTGCATTATGAGTTGTCGCTTTGCGAGGTATCGACGGCCTTCGCCGACGTTAGCGTCCTAACGCTGGAACTATGAATGCGCCCACTAACCGCTAGATCAACAAATATCTACTGTGACCCTATCATGACGGGTGATTTTGCGACACGACTACATCGTTAAGAGCATGGAATCGTATCTAAGTTCTCTTGTCTGAGGGAGAAGGGTTGAGAAGCTTGGGGCACTCATGTAGTGATGAAGATTAGAGGGATTTTACTGTCCCTGAATGTGTGACACCGCAACCCCCTAGTAACCCTACAACCCACTCCCGTGGGCTTCACCCGGGGTTTCTTTCCTTTGCATCGTACACGTGACGGGTGAGTTTGAGGCGCTTCAGCGTGTGTTTGGGTTACTGTGTCACACATTCACGGGACGATTGAAACCGTCTTGCGTGGTAAAGATGTGAGGTAGAAGCGGTATCCTCAACTGTAGGCATGCAGTCAGCACCTCAACAAGTATTTTTTGTGAGACTAGGCTTGCAGGGAATCTTTTTCATTGCCTTTGGCTTTTGTTCGATCTCATGGAATCAGCGGTTGGCATTTCAGATTGCAAACAAAGTATCTCTCTCTATATGAACCGCAAATGTCCGTCGTTTGTCGGTTTGTCTGTCTCTTTGCTACCATCTTATATAGTGCCTTCTGGGAATCGGTTAGGAACAGCGCAGGCAGGTTGAACAGGTGTGGAATGAGCCGAGCTACACCGGAACACATCAGCCAAGCTGGGCATCGCTCACTACGGGCGGGGCGTGCGTGGAAAATGTAGTTAATCGAAAGCCTATAACTCCTGATCTCCTGGGCCTAAAGTGTTGAAGTTTAGAAGGGATGTTGGCTACAGTTGGCAAGATGGGGACACCAGTATTACATGACTGGTGTAGACTCCGCCTATGGGTGGGGGGAGGTGGTCTTGGTGTGCGAGAAAATTTGCAATATGGATCCGGGGGGGGGNGGGGGGGGGGGGGGGGGGGTTCATATTTCCTTGTTATATATTAAGCGCTCGCGCCTGTCTTTCTGCGTGTGTGTCTCTTTGTTTGTACGGAAATTCGATATTACTTGAACCCTCACAAGGGGCGGGACATGCTCACGAGTGGGCAGTGTCATGAGCAAAAAATTATAAACTAGGTTCCATGACGCCCAGACGTCGAGAAAAAATGGGCAAAAGTGAGAGATGGGTCAACCTTTAAAATAAAAGAATCTTACCGGCGGTGGGCGTTGCACTCTAGCAGTAGACGGTACTTTCCGCAGAGATTCATAACTCGATTCAACGGAGGCGTCGAGGTCAGGAAAAAGAGTGGGCAAGGCCTCATACGTGCTGGGCATGCGTAGGCATAGCGAAGCCCCGCCCACGGTGGGCGCGGCGTGCGCTGAGGTGAAAGCCAATTTTCAAAAACGAGCGTAACTTTGTTCGGAAACCTTCTAGAATGCGGGAAAAAAGTGATTAGGGGGAATGGAACAAATGTGAGGAAATCCTCGAAGAGGGCGGGGTTGGCACTAAAGTGGGCAGGGCTTGGATCAAAATTTCATTACTGTTCAGAAAAGTTCTAGAACGTGGGAAAAAGTGGTTAGAGGTATTGGAACAAATGTGGTTAGGTCCTCGAAGTGGGCGGAGCTGGCACAGGGAAGCGGGGCTAGAAGCAAGAATTTATATTGCTAAAAACTTTCTAGAATGCGGTGAAAATGGTTAGTAGCAAGCAAAAGAAGGGTGGTCAAGTTTGTTGTGGGAAGGGTTTGTACTGAGATGGACGGAGCTATGATCACCCATTAATAATTCTGCTCAAATGAAATATATCGAGCGTGATCTCAGAAGTTCAACGTTCGAATCTAGAGAGAACTATCTTTTACTGATTATCCAACATTCCGCTGAAAGACTCCATCGTAGATAAGAGGTCGCCGACATATAATGCACACGCTAGCGTGCATAGCCCAACTGGTAGTGTATATGCAGGTGGCAATATGGAAACCTAATATTAGGCGGCACACTTAGACTTCGCCTACTGGGGCAGTGTAAACCAAAATTGTTAGTTTGGAGCTGGTGCGTTCAAATTTGGTAGAGGTGGTGGCAAGATAGGAGTACCAATGGAAGGTGGAAGGTGAAGGGTTCTTTCTTGGAGGCGGGGCGTCCGCGAATATATTAGGTTGTTCGGAAAGGAATGCGCGCTAACTTTGTCCATTTATTTCTCCCCTACAGTAGGAAATTTTCCGAAACAGTTTCGTCTGTGGGGAAGAGTGTTTTATTGCGCATCTTATGATATATTTTTGGCTTTGTCTACTTTGTTTTCTTGGAAGAAAAAAAGTTCAGGAGGTGCTTGACCAAAAACTGGTTTTACGAGCTCGCATGTGGTATGACTTGAAGCAAGGAAAATCGGCTGCTGAATCTCATCATGCCATCTCTGAAGTATTCGGTGATGAAGCCCTGTCAGAAAGCCAGTGTCGACGATGGTTTCAGCGTTTCGAAGAAGGTAATGAAAGTTCGGAGGCCGAAGCACATGGAAGTCAGCCTCAGGGGGAGACGGGCGTTAGGAACGATTTTGGGTAATCGATTCGCCGCACGCGGCTGTCGCGGACCACTCATTCGCCGTTATTACAGCTCTAGCGTTCTTCATACAGCTCAATCGATATGCGATCATTATTTTATGCATAATTCTACTATTAGTACTTTTGTTCTTGTATTTCTTACCTTCTGCTGCATCCTGCTACATTCCTTCGCGCGCGACGCTCCTCTCACCGCGACGCGACCATTTCGTCCCTAACGCACCACAATCAGCCTCAGGTCGTCNGAACGATTTTGGGTAATCGATTCGCCGCACGCGGCTGTCGCGGACCACTCATTCGCCGTTGTTACAGCTCTAGCGTTCTTCATACAGCTCAATCGATATGCGATCATTATTTTATGCATAATTCTACTATTAGTACTTTTGTTCTTGTATTTCTTACCTTCTGCTGCATCCTGCTACATTCCTTCGCGCGCGACGCTCCTCTCACCGCGACGCGACCATTTCGTCCCTAACGCACCACAATCAGCCTCAGGTCGTCGATAACCAAGTGTTGAAGGACGTCATTAATTCGGATCCACACCAAACCACACGAGAACTGGCAGTACATTTTGGCTGCTCATACACTATAATCCATGAGCATTTGCTGGCGATTGGCATGACGAACAGGTGCGGAAAATGGGTACCGCACCAGCTGAGCGACGCCAACAAGGCAACACGGGTGGCGATGGCAGGAATTCTTCTTCGTCGCTCCAAGAACAATGGTTTTTTTTTCACTCTATTGCTGCATCAGATAAAAAATGGATCTGTTTCGGAAACACAACACGAAAACGACAGTGGATAAACGCCGGTGACGCTCCAAAACCCACTTCGAAACCGGATCAACTCGGCGATAAGGTGATGCTCTGTGTTTGGTGGAACAGTAAAGGTTTAGTGTACTGACAAGTCCTGGATTAGGGTCAAACGGTTACGGCGGATATTTACAAAGAACAATTGAGCCGCGTGGATCAAGCACTGCGTCATCAAGGTGTTGAAACGACGTCGGCAAAATTCTTCCACGACAACGCTCGTCCACATGTCGCGAAAACCAACCTTAGAAAAAATTGAGGAATAGGGGCTGGGAAGTTCTGCCTCATCCGCCTCGCAGGCCAGAACTGGTACCATCCGACTACCACCTGTTTCGGTCAATGCAGCGCTCGTTGGTCGAGAGAAAGTTCAAAAACCGCGGAGAAGTCCAACTCTGGGTGTCCAACTACTTTGAGTTGCAGCCGGCCAAGTTCGTCAGAAGAATCTATTCTTTGTGTGAACGTTAGCAACAAGTCATTGATAATAATGGAGAATATTTTTTAAATTGATCTTGCTTAGTTTCGTTTTTATAATAAAAAAATTTTTAAGCTCAAACGCGCATTCCTCTCCGAACAACCTAATAGTTGGCGGATTCCAGAGCTGGAAGCAGGGGGGATGAAGTAAGAATGCGACAATCCACTCTAAAAGTTTTCTAAATTATTAGCGCTAATTCACAACTTGGCTGCTTTCAAACGCGTAGCCTTCACATAAGGTAAGGATACACTGTCCCGGTAGGGGTATCAGGCTGTGGGGTGTCGACCGATACACCGATATGCATATCAATCTATTGTGTAATCGACCGCTCAATCGCAATTTTGTTTCCTTTAGCTGTGCCGTGTTCCAACCCTAAGGAAGTTGAATAGATGTGGTGGGATTGTTGCTGTAAATGTAACGATCGATGATAACAACCGATTTTGACCAGAGTAGTTTTCTACTACTCGATAAGGGGATGTTATTAGGGTGTCCATAAAGTTCGTTGGCCATTTGTAAACAGCGTCGCGTTACGCAACGCGTTGTGATTTTGCATGTTTTCGCAATACTGAAAGTACTCGCCTGGGGCTATCTTCTGAGCTAGCTAGCTCTAAATTTCCTTTTCTGCTTTTCCCACGGTAAAGCAGTGAAGATGAGTGGTAGTCACCACCACCGCTGATGTTTGCTGGACTACTACAACTTGGGCATCTCCAGACGTCAGGCCACGAATATCAAAATGGTCTCGACTCGCTTCACCAATGGAAACTATGGCCGTCGATCAACAAGGCATTCTGGATGCTCTGGACGATGAACCGACGTCGTCCTTGCGCGACTTAAGCAAGATCACACAGGTACTCCGTTCCAACATCCACAGAGTCATTGAATCTGGCAAGGTGTCGAAGAAGCGTCGAGTTGTCCCTCACGACCTCACGCCGGCACAGGCAAGGAAGCGGGTTGAGGTGTGCCCCGACAACCTCAGACTCAGAGGCCTGAGCAGGATTCTGGGCTCCCTCGTTTGCCGAGATGACAAGTGGGTCTACTACTCTAATCCTGCCAACAAACCAGTCTGGATCGATTTCGATGCGTCCCC